TTGTGCCCTGAAGCTCACCCTCGCAGGCAATCACATAACAGTTTATCATAAATGATGAAATGGAAACAAATCGGTAAGCGAGACCATAATGGCCATTTCTGGATTATAAGCCCTCATCAGTCAACCCTACCAATCCCAGCGGTGGTGACCCCCGGGATTCGAACCCGTGACCTTCTGGTCATGGAGTACAGCATTCTGCCATTACACTACGGGCTCGTCGTCTTTGCTTTTTGCGACCGGAAACATAAGGAATAGTAGGAGGCTCACCGATCTGGCTGAGGAACATGCTAGTCCCGCTTTACCCTGGAGCCCACTATAGAGCCCTCGCATAGCGACCGGCAGGATTTGATGAAGTGGCTTACCGAAAACCCTTGTAGATATCCTCAGGAGCGCGTGCACACTTAAAGGGATGGCAGAACTTATCGCCGCCCTCCTTGATACAGGGGTTTTTCTCCTTCTCACAGAGCTTCCCTTCGAAGGCGGGAAGACAGCTGCACGTATAGTTGGCCTTTTCGCCTTTTTCGGGGTCGGGCTTCATGTACTCCCCGTCGTTCATACAGGGGTTTCCGGGTCCGTAGACATTTTCACTAGCGTCCTCAACGCAAATTTTCAGCATCTCGTCATACTAAAATAAAAACCGGCAAAATGGTTAAAAAAATACAATCAGTAGTTTCGGGCACGTAAAGTTACATAAATGCCTGGCATATTCAAACAAAAATACAGCATCTGCACAAAGGCGAGACAGCATACTTCAGTTGATCAAAGATGAAGTTCATCGTGCACCCCCATAGCAACTTACCTGTACTTGTTACGGCTGTGATTATGCCTGACCGAGTCGGCCTCGATGAGGTCACGGACGATACCTCTCCATGCGTGACGATTGGCAGCAGCGGATCTGGAGAGCTATACCCAGTCTCTTTTCCAGCACTGGAGACCGAATACCGAAGGTCCAAGAGCCACTTCCACGTCCTGATGAACTGAGTCGAGACAGGTCTTGAGTTGACTCCCTCTCCGACATTTCTAATTCGGTAGCGGTTTGAAGTCGAGGGCAGTAGCACTGAGCTCTTGAGGTTGACGCCGAATACCGTGTCCAAACCACCGCAGTCGTCTTTCCTGTATGGCCTCGGATATCCTTGCGATTTTGTCGCAGCGAATGCGGACTGTCT